CTGTATGAGTTTGAAAATTATTTTTTTATTTTTATAATATATAATAGATTACCTATTATTATTGCTAATGACTGTTACACAAGCGCTATCGTATTTTTGAGACTATTATAATATTTAACTCGTATATTTATTTTAACATACCTATTATAAGTGAGTAGTTTTTAAAATAGTCCAGTACCAGGACTACAGATAACGTTTTTGTTTCTACGCCCAAAATTCAAAGACCTTACTTTGTGTTTAATTACGACATTTTAAAATATATTAGGTATACACAAATTTTTTTCTATAATTTTGTTAAACACAGCTTCAAAATGCATTGCACATGTTTACTAGATTATTCCCATAGTCTTAACCCCAATATTTTGGTTTTTGATCTCGCCGCACTGAAAGGTGCATTATTATCGTAAATATATTTCATAATAAAATTGTATCATGCATAGGTATAATACATAATTTGCACATGTGCCTATAATGGTTGGACTATAGGTACCTAGTTTTTATGTATTTAAATAAATTAAATTCACATACAACCCAAATAAATAAATTGTTTTGTTTAATGTTTATACATTGTGAATTTTTAAGAATGTTCATTTTTTTATGCTTATAAAGAAAGCATATTATATCTAAACCAAAACTCGAACGAGTAGTTTTTCAGTTATAATATACACGTTATACTGTTTTTTTTTTAAATTTTATTTTTATGGATTATTATCCTTGCCCCTTGTTATAAACATATTTACATATTAGTTATTACTATAATAACTCAGAAATTAGGCACCTAGGTACTCAATAAGTAGTATGGTTTTGTTCCTTCTGAGCACCTTTTTTACAGGGAGATTTCTTCAGTTCAAGCGGGCATTTCTACATACTTCACCGTTCATTTCTGAACACTTGTTTTACAGAGAGATTTTTTACAGGGATATTTCATCAGTTTAAGTGGAAAATGTCTACATACTCCACCGTATATTTCTGAACACCTTTTTTTAGTAGGTAGTATACGATAAACTAATGATTGAAAATCGTTTGAGCATTTTTTAAAGTTCGTTTTTGAAAAATTGAAATAACTTATAAAACAATTTAATAAAACTTTGAGAAAATAAAAGATAATGAAACACCACTTGACTATAAACGACGATTCATTAGTAACTGATAATTTTAAAACATGATTTAACAAATGGTATAGTATGAAGCGGTTTCACAATTACAAGTTACAACTGTACATAATAAAAAAAAAAAAATCTAGGTAGTTACTAAAATGTGTACCTAAATTAATTTTAATAATTTTAATAAAAAAGTGCAGTGTTACCAATATGTGTGAGTAATACATTTATGAAAAATTTACTTTGATGCCGACATTAAAAATAAAATATTAGTTACTTAATAATATATTATTCTCCTATTTACCATTTAGATACCCTTATTATGGTCAATGTGTATCCATTACACGAGAGGATGGATAATATTAATTTCTGATCAAAATGCTGTACAATTTATTATTTCCAATACGTTTATTAATTATTATTTATTTAATTTTTCTTTAGATTCAAACAAAATGGTGTGGTCATTTTATTATAGGTATTACTGGTATTAGCTATGTCTTACACTATGTCCGTGAATTAACATTTTATTAATATTATTGTAAAATATTTGGAAATAAACTTTGAATATACCTTAAGGCTTCTATTATTTAATAATGTTTACTATAATAATTAAGACAATTTATTTTAAGTATGCTGTAAGTATGAATGTTTTAAATTTAGAATAGATTACCCACCAACTTTTTTCCTACCTACTGACTGTTACACACGCGCTAGCCGACAATGGTGGCCGTCCATTGTCTCTTGACTCTACTATACCGCCTTTTCTTAAAATAGTTTTCATTGTGGAATAAAATTATAAAGGCACAATCAATTGTTTAAAAATAGGTATAATAATTTGGTTTAAAATATTAGGTAGGTAGGTACCTATCATTAGCTACGATTCTGCAGTTGACAGTCGACCATCGTGTAGTGGAGTGAGACAAAACAGTTTTTCGTACTTTATATTTTATTTTTTAATATCTAAAATATATTTTTAATTTGCTTATTACAAATTACAATACAAAATCATGGTTGGGAGGAAACCTTTAGTGGATCCACTAAGGATCATAAACGCAGTACTCTACTATAAAAGTGCAGTACTTGAAGAAAACAATGGTGTAAAAAGTAAGTACCTACCTACATTTTTATTTAAAATTGTAATAATATAAACACATATAGTAGATTATAAGTAACTATATTAGTATCTTTAATTCCATATTGAAAAAAATTAATTTTTGAATGAGAAATTTTCAACGGTAGGAAGTTCTACTACTACAGTACTACCTAAGTCCTAGTTTAATGAAAAGTAAGTAGTTAGGTAAATCTCTGAACAGTAGGTAGGTATCTAATTAAAGTTAATTTCAATCTTTGTTTCATGTGATATAATATATCTAGTGATATAGGTATTATGTATATAATATATGTTTATGCATTGTTTTTATAAATACAAATAAAAACAAAACCAATTTAATCAAAGTATATAATATTTCTGAAGCTAATTCATGAATTTAATTAAATTATAATCTTATTATTTTAGAAATTGTTGTAGCATCAAACACTGTATGGTCAGATATCAGTAATCGACTAGGTGGTTCTATTAGCAAAAGTGCGCTTTATATATTTGTTCAACAAGGACGCCATGGTATACATGAAAAGCTTGGAATTGGTATAGCAAACAAGAGACTTGACTCTGAAAATAATGTTCAAAGTGTTGAGCCTATCGTTGCATTTGGTAATGTTATAAAATTACAATAAAATATTTTCAAAAATAAAATAAAATTTAAAATTTAAATAACAATGTGTCTTAAATCTCTTAATATCGAATATTTATGATTTTTTATTTATTTACTAAATTACATACCTACTGGTTGATATTTTATGAAATATAGGTACTTATAATTTAATATTTATAGATGAATCTAGTGATAGCAGTGGTGACAATGTAGACAAATTACCATCAAAACATTTTACCATTACATTGTCTGTTGATGAATGGAAGCCACGGTTATCTACACAGGTTGGAAAACGGTATCTTATCGCGTGGTGACGAGTGGTGGAATCGCGAACTACAGCGCTAGTTGTACTTGGCCATACATTTACACGAACAACATCCAATATTATGTATTTTTTCATGTTTTTCCGATATTTAATTTTACAATTTTACTAAAGCTAAGAGTATTATTGTTAAATGTTATGCCATTGTGTGTTTTTCATGATATTTTGGTATAATTTAATTCGTTGTGTCAATGATATAGAAGAAAATATTTTTATTTATTTTTGTTATTTATACTGATAAATGATAGATAACTATCATGCATATAATAGAAATCATAAATGTTAAATCAATTTTTATAATTCTTCCGATGTAAGGTTTGAATCTTGTAGTCTGAAAATAATTAATATACACAGATATTAAAATAATTAAAATTAAAATCTACACAACAAGCATGAAGCAATCCAAACTTATTTTATTTTTATTGATAATATTTTAATAAAATAGTTTTTTCATTTTATCATTGTTGTTGATGAAATACAGCCATGTGTATGACTGCTATAGCAGTCGTGTCCATCAATGTGTTAATAAGCTCATCTAATATAAATGCAGTGCGATAAAGGAAGAATAGCAATATACAGAAAATATTGAATAATGAAATAATTGTATTGATATATTAGAACATTGTATTTATTTATTTTATTTATTTAAACCCTTAACAAGACATATTATTATATAATATCAAATATTATTATAGTTGATAATTTGTCACGTATTATATAGTTTGGATATCTTCTTCTTTACCATAGAAACTTTTTTCATTTTCAGATTTTCTTGATATGAAAATTGTCTAAGTCTCATTTGAATATAGTTGACAATTATTTCAGCAGTGACATCAATAACATGTTCTAAACATGTGTAATTAAAATTAAAATCTTTTCCTGTTATATCAAATTATAATATTATAATATTATAATATTAATATTATTACCTTATCAAACACATCATATTCATGACAGTGTAAGGCAAATGAATGTTCAATCGTACTTAAGAATTCATACAAACTAGAATTAGGATAAATAAGTTGACCTTTAGATTTAAGTGAAACAAGCTCAGCAGCAGGATGATTAGCATTACTATTTTTAAAAAAATTAATACATTGCAGGCATTTTTTCCACTTTAAAAGGTTTTTTGTGACATACCCACATATATAGTACACAATGCAGTCCCTCACACTGCATTCTTCATTATTGCTGCAATTTGGAAAAATGTCACATGGCTCCCATTGCCCTTCTTCGATTAATTTGTCCAGTTTAATTTTCAATTTATTGATTTTTTCTACTCTAGGGTTTTCTTTATCATGGAATATTTCCCGTAAATCAGCTAAAGAAATTTGTGGAACATCACAATAGGTAATAGAGCAATTACCATATTTGGGCGGTTTTAAAACTGAATAAATGGATAAGATCTTATATAAATGAAGAAAGGTTGGTGTCGTTGGGTGATCATTAGGTCCGGAACTCTGTCGTATTATTCCAAAAAACTTCTGAAATAAAAAAAATATATTTATAAATTAAACTTAAAAAATAAAAAGTGGAGTTACCAATAAAAATCAATATACATATTAAATATACAAAATAACCTACTGACAATAAGGATTGTAACATTGTATACATTAGTTTTTTTACTGGTTGGATATAGTCTGTTAAAATTATTACAAGTGAATTAAATAATTTTTGATTTGTGGTTATAAAAAATATGTATTATATTATCATGTTGGCTTTTTTATGAAATACCATAAAATTATGTTTGACCATTAAAAATTAAACTAAGAAATAATAACTTTATATTATATATTAAATATATTTAATTTAAATTCAGATTTGTTAGTGAAATAATATGTTTAAATCAAAAGAACTTACTTCAAGAGGGTCTTGACACATTTTCCCAGTTAGTACATATGTATAGTCACATGTTTCTAACAAATATTTTGACAAATCAATCGTGGAATTCAGTGTAACTCTTAATCCCTCAGCCGTTTGATTTGTTAAAAACTCTGCTGTGTTAATGTTTCCACATAACATCTCATTTTCCCAACAATCAATGTAGTATAGTGCATCCTTTAAGTTCTGTAACATTTTATTAAAATTAAAATCTATATATTTTAATTTCAATAATATAATTAAATCTAGTTTTACCTGAAATCCTTCACTGGCATCTATTTTTAAGCCTTGCCACGGTAGGTTACGATTCAAATTGTCAAACAGATTATTCCAAAACTCTGTAAAATTTGCTGTTTCGTCAGAACCTTTTAGCATGAGACAATTTTTACTCTTATAGTATCGCATAGCTTTGGCCATACTCATGCTGAATACCTTTAATATAGTATAATAAGACAATAATTTTAGTTTTATCATATTATATAACAGTAAAAAGTTTTAAGAGCTTGAATTTACCTGTGTACAAAGCCTAACTCTCATTTTTGCCATTGGAAAGAGATCAAGATGCTGAAGTGTTATTCTCGGAATAATTCTAATATTTGCTGGATGCTTTATGTCTTCTTTAAAAACTTCTTTGTAGTATCCCCAAGCAACACTCTCAGAATCCGAATGAAGCTAGAAAAAAAGTTGTTTTATAATTATTAAACAAGTTGTGAATACTTGAAAATAAACATTATTTAAAAATTGTTTTACTCTTAGATTTTTATTATTGTAGAGACGGTTTCTAACACACTTGAACAGGTGGATAAAATCAGAAAATGCGTAGACCCTTTTATTTAGAATAGTTGGGTGCTCAAAATAATTTTTCATTCCTTCCTGGGTACCATTAATACCTAATTCAGACCACATTTTTCTGTTTGTGCTTGCACCATCACATACAATCCCATCAATTATAATTCCAATATTATTTAAAAGTATTATGGCTTTTAATACCAATTTTGCAAGAACGACCCCTAAAAATAAAATAGATTTTTAACTATAAAATTATTTATTATAATATTATTGTTAAATATATTATTTTAATTAAATGTTTACCTTTAACTTCACTTTTTGAAGCGAAACAACCAATTGTTTGGTAAAAATTAGAGCCAAGGGATTGGAACATGAAAACCAATGCATGGTCCGCATATTCTTTATGGCCAGCATGTGGTATATCATTACCATAGTCTTCTAAACCTAAATATGTTAAATTTGACGAATTTACATGAATACTTTTTCTAAGATTAATTGAATCAAATAGAAGTACTCCATGTTTCTCTTTACTATTCATTTTGTCAACTTTTTTAGCTAGTATTTTCAAAAAGTCTTCATCAAACCCACAAGTAGATTTAATTAACGATAAATGGCGTCTAACGTTTTTAGGATGTGGTAAGGGTAATAATGCACTATTGCGCAGGTATTTATATGCACTAGGAGATCTGATATTAAATAATAAGCAGAGCATTAGCCAGTTATCTGAATATCTACGATTTTTTGTATTTTTTACTTTACTTGCAGTAAAACATTCTAGTATTAAAGTTTTTTGAGACTCATTTATATTTTCACATAGATCAATTTTTTCTTTAATAGAATAATCACTTATTTTTGACATTTCTTTTTGTACATTATTCAACTCTAACTTCAGGTCAGTGACTTTTTTCTTAGCCCTATTAAAGTTCTTTTGTAAATTGTTTTTAATTCTACGGAAACTTGCGTTTCTTTTTGTGGGCGATAGTTGAATTAATTTTTGTTTGTTTGAATTTATTCTCAGTTTCTGCATATATAATACATTTCTTAGTCTAGCACACCGTATACAAGATGATGAACCAATTTTAACCACTTGTATACATTGATTATGTTTTAATCTTCCTGTTGTTGATTTAGTACATAGGTTTGAAGAAAAGTTAGGAAATTCTTCAGCTCTTGGTCCACCATAACAAACACTTAATTTTTCAAATTCTTTAATATTTTCAGCAAATGAATAAATATTTTCTCCTGGTGTTATATTGATAATAGTATTACTAATTTCCTTACCGAAAATTCCAAAAGTAATTGTTCCAGAATTACTAACTTTAATTGCTTTTTCCACAATAGGAAATGAATCTCCAGAAGACAACGAAACAAAGTTATAACTTTGCTCTTTAACATCATTATTGCTATCAGATAATGTAAAAGGCCACTTTATAATGGATGACAAATTATCGTGGTTGGCTATTTCATTAAACAGATTATTAACATTACTACATTGTTCCAATACATCTACATTTTCATCAACATAATTTGGAAGGTTATTTGGTATGGAGAGTTTAATTTTTTTGGAAGGGACATCAAATTTTCGAATAGCAGGATCTTTTCTTCTTTTTAAAGTCTTGGATAGGTACTTTGGGCCAGGAAAAATTGAAGGAACCGCTCCAATTTTCAATTTAAATTGTTTATATGGAATCTGTGAAAAAGTCCTCATAGATTATTATGACATAAATAAGGACATTTTTAATTCAAACTAGGTACCTGCCTATAATTAATTGTATATAATATGTATATTTTTTTTATATAGATATGAAATATAGGCATACAATATTATAATAGGTAGGTATTGCATTTTTATAACGAATTGCATAAGCATTTAAAAATGTCTAGCTTCAATGGCTATTTTATTTTATGTCTATTAGAGGTAAATTAAAATAGATTAAATACCTATTATAGCATATTGTATTTATTACCTATGAAAATATTTTGGAATTATAAGAAGGTATCATTTTAAAATTATATCAGTTTTTATATAAGTAAATAAATTACCTGTATTGTACCGGACTGCCAAAATCGGATTATTTCGTCTTCATGAAAATGTTTGGAACATACAAAATGTTTTTCACTTAATATAAAATTGTCTCGTGGAATTGCTCTTGCCCAAATAGCTCGTAGTTTTTCGTCTTTCGGGACAGAAAATTGCGTAATTTTTTCTGTGTTGTTTTTGTAGTACCCCGACGAGCACCCAACAACACAACACTTGACCATATTATAATATTATTTAATTAATAGCTTGTCATACAGTAAACCGCACTATATTTATGTACGAATTGTCGAACACAAAATAATATTATACTACACAGTACACAGTTGTAGTAAAATGTAAAAATCATGACAAAATGTCAAATTGTTATGATAAAACTTAAATGATAAAATTGTGTATACTCTGTTCCAAAAGAGAACGGTCACTTTTGCGCATACGACTGACGGCTGCGGCAGTGCCAAGGCCAAATCTCTCCCACCTTGCTAGCCGACGGTTCACGAAGGCGTTGACGAGGTTTTACGATTACTGAAACGCGCGAGGCCTGCGGCTACTTTACTAATTACTGATTAGTAATGCGATTGTGTTGAATTGGTGAAGTGTATCACTGCGCAATTTTTCTTAGAGAAAAATGTTCGTCAAATCCTAACACTCATTTTTTAGACAAAATTAAGAATAATAGAAAATCATAATAACACAATTATAATGTAGGTAATAGTCAAATTAATAATAGTAATCATAGTCAAAAACAATAATACAAATATAATATTAATAATAGTAAAAAATAATCATAGTCAAAATCAATAATACAATTACAATAATCATAGTCAAAAACAATAATACAAATATAATATTAATAATAGTAAAAAATAATCATAGTCAAAATCAATAATACAATTACAATAATCATAGTCAAAAACAATAATACAAATATAATATTAATAATAGTAAAAAATAATCATAGTCTAGTCTGAAAGAGGTCTGATATCGTTATCTGAGTCCAAGTCCGATTGTTAGTCAGAGTCAGATTCTGAGTCCGAGTCATCGGGGCCCAGATTTAAAACACATGGTTCTTGTTCAGCCGTCAACTCATCAACAACGATGTCCATTTTCCATAATTTATCTTCCTCGTCAACCACATGTTTAATAAAATTTTTCCACATCTCAGAATCTACCCTTTGGATGCCTTCAATTAATAATCGATTGACATCATGCAGCTTGAAAGTGGTATTATTCTTTCTTACATAATTTTTTATACTGGACCATGCGAGCTCAATCGGGTTGAACTCGCAATGATATGGTGGTAATCGAAGTATATTTTTATTGTGTGACTTGACCATTTCATCTATGACGTATTTGTTGTACATTGGCTTCAGTCTATTGACAATCGGAATCAGTTCTCGAATAACCATAGACCTATCAACAACCTCTCCTTTGCTCTCGAGCCACGCAATAATATCGGCTTTCCTTGTATTTACATTTGGGCATTTCTCTTGTTTTACGGAATGATAAGGGGCGTTATCCATAACAATAACAGCGTTATCTTTGAGTCTTGGCAAAACACTTTCCAACCATTCACGAAAACATTCACCATTCATTTCATCGTGATAGTCTTGAGTGTTTTTTTTAGACTCAAAGCATAACAAACTGTCAGGGACGAAACCATCTTCAGAACCAATATGGCAAACAATAAGACGTTTCCCCTTTCCACTTGGTTTTACTGCACCGGTTGTAAGGCCCTTTGAAGTCGCATCTCTCGCTGATTTGACCGATTTATCGCACCAAACTTTGTATGGAACGTCACCAGCATTGACCCAAGTTTCGTCCAAATAATATATTGGCCGACCCTCCTCTCGATATCGCAATACGCCCTTAAATATCGCCTCCGCCAATCGACGATTTCAGTTTTTTCTATTAAAGCGCTATTACGGCCTTGTTTCACGTACACAAAGTCCATAGATTTTACTAATCTGTACATTGAGGTACGAGAGAAATCAGGTAAGTCCTCATCTTCGTTAACAACTTGGAGTATTTTGTCTAACGTCGGGAACTCGCGGTCACACCAAAATTTATGTATCTTCCGTCTTATTGCATATTTATCAAAATCATCTACCTTATCCTTCACATTTATAAACTTTTTGGTTCTATTAGGAGATGAAATTGTTTTGGACCGTTTGTACTCCAAAATTGTTTGATAAATAGTTCCAATTCCAATTCCCAGTTGTTCTGATAAAACTTTTTTTAGATGAACCATTTTAGCGTTTGGGTTTTGGGTAATATAGTGTTTGTATGCATTTATAATCAATATTCTTTGGCCAGATGACACAAACTGAAATAATAAAAAAGCGGGTAAGTGTATGACGCTCTGCTGTACAGTAGATTACAAGTGAGTCACTGTAATGGATCGTGTTAAATTTGAATTCAATGATACATCATTATATACGAAAAACGATTCTGAGCGGAGACGGTTTGTCAGCCTAAGATATTTTATATTACATTTATATTGTTATTATAACTACTGTAGTCGATAGGTTAGGTCGATAGGTTGAATTAATATTATTTGCATATAATCATATTTGTATAAACTAATATACCTTAAAAGTTTCAAGCACCAATGAATAATATTTTTAAATTACAACAATTTATTTAATACGTAATTTCGTAATTTTAAAAGTAATTTATTTTGTCAAAATTTAAACTTCAAACGCAACAAAAAATTTAATTTTAATTCCTGGTAGACAATTTTTTTTGCCACCTTTATCAAACTTATGAGGAATCTTGTATTAAAATTTCAAATCTTAGATTTGAAAAGAAAATTTTTTATGAATTTCTTGCTCAAAATAGTTTTTATGATTTTTACGTATTTTGTCAAAATTTGAAATTTATCAAATGTATCAAAAATCAAAATCGATTTTCTCGAAATTAGATTTTGCGTAAAAATTCCTGTTTTTTCTTAGTTTTTCACGGCGTTTTACGCCTGCAATACG